AGGTTCCGTCCTGCAAGAGGATGCATCGATCATATCTTCACCCTCCGACAGATTCTGGAACAATGACACTGCTTTCAGCAACCAAAAATGGTTGTGTTTCTTGATATGAAAGCTGGCTTCGACTCTGTGGAAAGTCAGGAACTATGACAGTGTCTGCAGAGCAAAGGTGTCCCCCATAAATTCTTGACCCTCATTAAGGCGCTGTATGCCAACTCCCGCGGCCGTGTAAAGGTCTACGGGAAGCTTTCTCCTGAGTTCATCACATCAAGTGGTGTCAGACAGATCTATCCTCTTTCACCTTTCCTCTTCAGCTTTGTCGCTGATACGATGGTGAAAGACCCACTATAAGCCACTAATGCCTGTGGGGTCGAAGTGCTCCCTGTGCGTCCGCTCACAGATATAGAGTACGCAGACGACATAGCTCTTCTAGGATCTGGCCCCATGGTAATTCAAACATTAAATAATCTAAGTAATTCCGCATCACGGTTTGGCATACGCTTCACACCCGCAAAGTGCAACGTACAACTGCGAGACTGGGTGGGCTCGAACTCTAGCCTCATACCTGCGGATGAACCAATTGGGGTAGTAGACAAATGTTTACCTGGGCAGCTGTATCAGTCCCGGTGGTCTCGCGAAAGATGATATTTCCATCCGGATTGGGAAGGTCAGAGCAGCTTTTGTGAACCTGCATCACCTGTGGCGCAGGCGTGACATCAGCTTATCCGTCAAGGGTTGGGTTTGCAATGCTGCAATGCGCCTTATGTTTCTATACGGATCAGAAACCTGGCCGCTGCGCGCTGAGGACGTCCTTAATGGGGCTCGCCCATCCAAGCTATCGCCTTCAGTCCATAGCTCCCTTCTCCCCCCCCCCCCACTTGGCAGTGCTGTATTTACGCACGAATTTATCAGCTCCCGCCTCCAATGAGCAGCTATCTACCCCGCCTCCCCAAATCATCGGTGAAAACTGTGGCAGCCACAACCACTGTACGACGAGTACGCGGTTCTTACAGCTGACAATGATGATGGATGATGAAACATTTCTAGCTATTAGCTAGCACCCACTAGGGTCACATATCGTGGGTCACTGATTGGTCATGGAGTTTCTGGAACACGTCATAAACGTGATTCCGTTTTCCGAGGGCAGTTTGCATACAGTTGGCATTTTGAGCACTTGTGTACAGGTTTTTAAAACTGCCTATCCATGCTCAGCCAGTAGACATGACTATGTGTTAGCGCCTTCATGAGGTTAATCCGGGGTTTTCAAAATGAAATATCCATGCTCAGCCAGTAGACATGACTATGTGTTAGCGCCTTCATGAGGTTAATACCGGGATGTCCAAAATGAAACTGTTTAAGGACATCGCCCTGTAATTCTGAGGGCACAATCACCCGTTTTGCGAGGAGTGAGAATCGATACTGATGGAACGGCTGAAGTTCTTTATCGGAACATACTGTGCGGCAGTGAAGCATCGGTGTTGAACACTGATGTCATGCTGTCGATGATGATGATGATGACTGGAGGTGTACGCAATGGAAATGGAGTACCTTTTGAAGTGGGGAATCACAGGCAGTGGCGTCGCAAACCATGACAGAAGTGACTGGAAGTGCATGGATCGCAGTAGCAAGCACCGCGTTAACTTATGGTTCCACCGTTATTGCGGCAACAACAGCATCCTCGGGTTGTTGACGTTGAGAATCCATGAGTCATGTTAATGCACCGTCTTGGCCAACAGCATAAGTAAACTGGTATTTGATGGAGAAGTCGTAGGCCAACATTGGTGTGTGAGTAGGGATGACTTTCATTGATCCGAAAACTTCGAAAGCAGTTTAGGGTCAGTGATGAGCGGAAAAGGATTCTCACACAGCATTTTATGGAACTTCTTAGTGGTGAAGATTACCGCTAGGGCTTATTTTTCGATCTGGCCGTAACTAGGCTCGCTAATTATTAGGGATCTATTTGCATGGGCAATTGCTTTTCCGCTTCCGTCAGAAACAACGTGAGAGATGACAGCTCCAATACCAAAGTTGTGTTAGTAAAGTGTTCTGCAATGTCTGAGGGTGAAAAATTCAAAGCACTGCACACAGATGATGATGGAAGGATCAAGTTTCTCAATCTAATGAAGTCCAAGAACATTAAAAAATCAAGACAGCCAATTCGTGAGACATGCAAATTTTTGAATGATACACTACAGGTTAACTTGCGAGTCAGTAGTAGGGGATCTCCAGATGCACTCTGGGTTCGATGATTCGCAAATGACACAACAGGTTTCCCTATCAACTCCCAACTGGAACGTGGGGTCAACATAATAACTGAAGCTGTGTCGAGCTGCACAGGGATTAGACTTTTGTTGATGACTCAATTTCAACTTGGGATGCTGAAAACACACATATGGACTGCTGACATTTCCTGTACGGATGCTTTTTGACCGTGCTGCTGATTGAACTGATGACGCTCTTTTGGGTTTGGGTAGTGGCATTTTGAGCACGACAGAAGCCTTTGCGGTCTCACCGATGACACGTCTGGCGCTGGGGCTTCTTGAATGGACAAAAACCTGCAGAATGCCACTCACCACAGGATAAACAAGATGTTGGCGGTTTTTTCTCCCGTATAACGGTGGTTCGTTTCAATCCCATGACAACACTGGGATTAATAGGTCGTGGCGCATGCTATCCCATTGCGCTATGGTGTTTAAGGTTGCGTAAACGTTGGTATTCGGTGGTGAGTACTTTATCGGTAAAAACTTCTCGTACTCAGGCTAGGGAAGTAATCGAGTGTGAATATCTGATTCATGCGGATAGTGAAAACCAGTGACGAAAATTAGACACGAACTAATCCTCTGCAACTGGAATTTTTCACACTCACAGTTGACATCAGGAAGAGTGATGCGGTCGCCAGCATCGCGCCTGACCAATTTCAGACAAAAATTAAAAGGTGAATGCTGCTCACCGAAAATTTCACGGAATTGTTCTACTGTTTGAGTAAAAGCTTAAATCATTTGGATGCTTGAGGAGAATAAAGTTCGTGAACCGATCGTGCTCGAGGGTTCCAAGAGACGGGATTTCCAGGCACCATCTTTGTCAGTAAACTCATTCTGAAAAATATCTTCCGAGCAAATGTACCATGAATCGAATGTGAGACCAGATACTGGTTCGTAGGAAGATTCGGTAACAGTTGCTGCGATAGGATCAGCAAAGGGCAATGAAGTAACAATTTGAAATGGAACTGAGGTTTGAGTAAGCGACTGAATAAGTCGCAATTGCGACTGTTCGAACTGCGCTTGTCGCTGTTGAAAGATTGTTTCCAAATCCTCAGCTGAAATTGACATGTTTGTGTTCGCATTGGGTTCCCGTCACCAGTGTTATATCCTCTTTGACAATGTACCAGTCAGACAATTAGTTCACCGGAATGTAGAAGACAAACAACTTCGAGGAAGTTGTACCTGCAACAGGTGGATCACTCCGTGATATGGAATTCAACTGAACTAGGATATAAAAAGAGCTAACAGTCCAATAGGATGTTAATGTAAGGCTAAAATGTGGAAGCAAGATTTCAGTATACAAGGTAAATTGTTAGCAAGGTGGATATGTTCGTTTGAAAGCAGTTTTCCGAACAGGTGATTCTTCAGCCACAGGCATGGTGCGCAGGGGTCTTTCGATGGAAGGAACAAATTTCAACTTGTTCTGCTCCACGATCGACAAATGGTAAAACTAGGCGGCCGTCGTTATGGCAAACTACATAGGGGAAGAAACTGCACATCACTGGTGTTGTCGCTCAACGGCCTGATGAGATTCAGTGTTAAACGAGGGTCATGTACGAGTAAACGTTACGACCGGTGGATGTGAGAGCACCTCCCTAACATGCATCGGGTGCTGATGGACTGGACATCGTATGTGACAACGCTTCGCGCCGTTCGCGCTTCGAGGAGCTCTCGGTTTGCTACACTGGTGAGCCTGGGTCGCCGTTCACCTGCTGCAATCTGACCGACCTTGAGTGTGCACATGTGCTCAGCGATTTTAATTTGCATACTAAGTATGTAAAGCATGCTTAATTTGCACACCTAAACTTAAATGCGGTAGAATCACCAAAGGAAGCTGGATGGCGATACTGAGACAAGTGAACAAGCAAAAATGGAGTTCGATCGGGCGGTAAAATGCTTCAACGTGAAAATGTGTCCATTTTGTAGGCGAAAAAATCGTTCAGCTGTCGCACCATTTTGGTGCCTAACTGCGATGCCGCCCGAAAGTTGCACGAGAGCTGGGATACTCCCAGGTTGCCAGAGCCTAGACAGGGGAAGTTGAGAGGCAGAGGTCGGGTTCGAACCACGGAACTTCCGGTCAAAATCACGCTCTAACAACTCGGACAGTCTCGCCCCGAGCGACAACCTTATACTACCATAAACGAGGGGCTCAGCCGAATCTCCCGTTAAAACGAAATTGATGGTAAATGAGTGCATTTAGCGAATTCTGTACAATTTGGGCTCGGAAACTTCTGATGAGCTCCAAGAAGGGTGAAACCGGTCATGGGTTCTCGAAGAGTTTCCAGCAACCTTAAGAACAGTGTACCTTCAAAAGTGGACTAATAAAGGAAACCATTTATCCGCATTTTGCATTTTCTTCTCAGACTGATATTATGGTCCGTATTACACCATTATCTCACCTTGGAATGAGAAAACATAATTAATGGGTTGCTCTCATATACAAATCAGTGTCTCTACGACTAAGCCAAAATGACCAATTATGGGACCAGTGTCCACTATGTCACTGCGTTGCCCTGAATGAGTTGAACATAGTGAGGACGGTAAAAACATGAACAAGTTGTACTTGTGTTAACAGCCCAGTGAACAAGATTTCAGGACCAAGAGACACGCTGAACAAAAGAAAATTGACAGGGTGGTAGCAGGCTAGAAATTGGAGTGCTGGTAGAGCACTCTGTTGCCATTCTAACATCATCGCATCATCATCATCGACAGCCATTCTAACACTGACTCAGAATCACCTACTCGACCGCGGCTCCAGCTGTGAACGCACTGGCAAAGCTGAGAATCACGTCCCTGACAGAACTGAGTTCAGTAGAATGGTTATAAGCACGCAGTTCGTTCAATGGCACCATGGGTGGAGACCAACCCATTTGGTTGAGAAGTGGAATGGCTCGGACCTTCAGATCGACGCAAGCACCGAACCCGACAAGAACCTTCGGTCCGGGATTCTTCTGTGGGAGTGGTCTGTAAGAATGCTCCAGGCGAACCAAAGATTTGATTACCTAAAAAGGGCCGTGATAAAAGCCTATGATCATGAGTGACTCACCCTGAGGATGTCACCAGGCACACCATACCACCATACGGATTGAAGAAAAACAATCGCCAAAGCCGCAAGAACCGCCAAAAAGGCACCAAAAGACAATAGCGTACCGGAGCGCATCAAGATGCTGAAAACCAAAGGTGAATTGCAAAGTATTACCACAATATCAGCCCAATGAAAGAAGGGGGTCATAGTCTTCAAAGACGCCAACAATATGAAATAACCTAAATAATTCTGCCGCGCAGTTTGGTATGCGCCTTACACCTGCGAAGTGTAAAAAGCTGCAATTAAACTGGGTAGGCTAATTTTCAAACCTCACGCTTGCAGACCAGTCAACCGATTCGGTAGATAAGCTCGTTTACCTGGGTAGTTGTACAAGTTCCGATAGACTGACAGGAGGGGAAATTACTTCTCGAGTCGAGAAAGCGAGGGCAATTTCTGTCAACCGTGGACACCTATGGCGTCGGTGACGTCTGTTTGTCTGTCATGGAAGGAGTATACACTGTGGTGGTGCGATCCATACTGGTTTATGGATGAGAAACGGACCTTTCAACGAAGAGGACGACGAAAGCTGTCAGCGTTTGACCATCGATGTTTTCAAAGCATCGATCGGGTTTGGTGGGAACATAGGATTAGCAATAAAGAGACTGGACCTTATGGTGGTGTGGCGGTTTGTGTACCTCGGTGACCCATTGAGCTATACTGGGGGGTGTCCGCGCGACACTCAGAGTCTCTCATACCAGGTTGGTCA